CCTACTATTACAGGCGACTTCGGACCAGGTGCCTTCGACTAGGTCGCCTTGACAACAAGACCAAGTTGCGACAACGAGGTCGACCCACTTCTAGGGGATATTATTTTGAAATTATGAGCTCCGTTCCATCTCGAGTGAGTGTCCCTTCGAAACAATCTTCTTGGATTTCGCCGAAAACATGCTAGGCTCTCGGAAACGAAGAGAAGTGTCTAGAGAACGGCATAAGCAAGAAGGCTTCAATAAAGCCAATCTACAGCTGGCCAAGAGGATGCATTCTGGCGGGATCGACCTTCGAATCTCTTCAGCACCCATTTACATTCAAAGGGGAAATGAGCTCAAAGATTAGAAATCAAGAGACTTTTCTAAGTCGCATAATAATTTGCAGTTTGCTGGGCTTAACATGAAGTAGGGAATGCTCACTTTCCTCCGTCAACCGAGCATCACCCTTCACATCCCATCCCATCCTCCATTTGGCTAAGGTCGAGTCGTCTGCCACCAGCAGCTCTCGAGCAATCAGGCCGTCGTCTCGGTCCTTGGCAAGCCACTGGTAGCAAGGAAATAGGTATTCTTGCTGTTGCGGTTCCGATTTGCCAGAGCCCCATTCGCCTCCAGCAGGACCCTCGACAATCACATGAATATAGTCGAGGAACCAGGAAGGATTGACGCCTGAGTTGTCGTGGGCAACCCTCAGTTTGACGAGACGACCCAGACCCAGACCTGTGACCTTGCGTTGAAGAGAAAGATTTAAAACATGAAGGTAAAGATCAGCTAGCGGCCTGAACTCAGGCTTACAACTCTTTAATTTATTTTTTGCATTTAAGTATTGTTTCGAGACTACCAGTAAATCAGTAATATGAAATGTATTCACCCAATTTCATTTAAGGTGATGAAGGAAAGGTAGAAGAATTTTCCCACAATGATATGAGTAGAGCTGAAGTTTCCATTGAATTTCCCAGAGTCTTGCTTTCCCAAAAGTTGTTCTCAAGTTTCGATGCAGGTCTAAACTGCAGTCCACCCTGGATGAGAATAACTTTTGGAAAACCAAGGCTATGTGAAATTCAATGGAAACGTCTGCTCTACTCATATCATTGTGAAAAAATTCTTCTTCTACCAGTCCTTCATCACCTTAAACGAAATCGGGCGAATTCATCTGATAGAAAATAAATACGGAAAGTCTGATAGTCAGTTTGAGATCCGGAAATGATTTAAACCTTTTTCTCGGTATCCCAGAACTAAGCATAACCAATCAACGATCATTACGCTTCGCATTGGGCACGTTTAGAGAAAGCGGATATTTCTCTTTAGCGGTGCCGTTCCAATTATCATTTTGACGAATTTACACATGAATGGTGATTTGATTGTATCTGAAGGAGTCAAGATAAGCTCCCTTGAAATTTTAGCTTAAAATTCTAAACTAAATTTCCATTAATGTACTGGTTATCTCCTTCAGCAATAATTATCTAAAAGGAATGCGCAGGAGGTAGGGGAACAACAAGGACAGGAGCATATAAACGATTATTCAATGACATATATGAAGGTTTTAAAGTAGTCTTCTCGATTTGTGTTCTTATCTGAGATTATTAACCGTTCTTTAAAGATGAGATTCCAAAACTTTCCGAAGACCTAGTAAGGACATATCTTCGTCAAAGCCTCCCTGAGGTATGGATAAATTGCAAAAATGCGGTTAAACTATTTCTCCTAATTATTACTAGTACTATTATTGTAACTTATATTATTTACAGTAAATAATTTCGCCACATATGATACTGCAAATCTCCTTCACTCTTGCCTGATCGGTACATCGGATCTGGGGCAGAAGGAACTTCCAGCTCTGGATTGGGACAGGCTGGCACTGATGCCGAAGGAGAATAATAGTCAAGGGTTCTCGGAGGATGCAGGCTACACACTTTGTCAACTGACTTGATTTATCATTTCGAAATAAATTTGGGCTGTAAGAGAGATTTATGCACTGACGTCTACAGAAACTGAAGAAGGTTTGCTTTGAAGTTAAGACTTTTGGACTGTACCAACAAGTTTTGCGACCCCGACGAGGCAGTGTCCCTCATGTGACAGAGCGATAAAGTATACGTCACGAAAAACTGCATCAATAGGTTAAGTTGAGAAAAAATGTGTGTAGATACGAAGAAAAACTGGGTTTCGATTAATCTCATGAGATGCTATTGTTGGGAGGACTTTTATTTCGCATGTAAGTGCACGAAGAAGGGATTCGTAGGTCGATCTCACCAGAAGAGGACGGTTGAACTATGTTGTACTTCAGCCGTTTGGCTTTTATAAGAAATATAAAATTGCATATACTTTCATACGAAATAACAGTCCCCCTAACAGAGAAAAGGTGAATGCCTGAAACCATACACACTCGCAGATGGGGGAAGTTGATTTATGCAAATGGAGAAAATTTAAGCATGAAGCAACCAATCAAACTTTAAGATGCCTCACTGATATCTCATAATTAGGTAGAAGAAGTGAGTACGTTTGTACTTTTTGTAAAGTATGATTCCACGCTCTGATATTTTATGTCATATGGCAGACGAAATTCAGCTCGGGATCATAGAGAATTAGAACTTCTTCACACAATCTAACAGGCTTCACTCCAAGACACGCCACCTTCGGTTTCTAGTTCCTTTTAAACCACCTTTAGCATGGAATCAAAAAGTCGATTTACGCAAACTTTCTAAGAGAGTCTTCGAAACACGGCAACAACATACTATCACTAGCTTGACTAAGTAGGACGGGACCAATTTGGATTTGACTAAATCTAGCGCCTGGTGGCATCAGTTCGCCGAGTGTTCGGACCTGAATCCCTATGAAAAAGATAACGAAACCATCAAAATTCGCATTCTCCGTGCATTTGGGGCGGAATCGTAGATGGTTGAAAAAGTCAGGACAACATATTCTTTAGACATTTATATTGGAAGTACTGGAAAGTTCGCTGCCCATCCCTTATCGTTGCTGTGATGATAGATCAAAACATTCATATTTCATATACAAGAATCTATTTGGAAGTCAGAATTTAACTGAGAAAAGTCTGACTAAAAAAGTCTTCCGGGTAGCATTTCAACAAGACCTTTTTTCTTTACAATGTATAGTTCGAAATCTAACCAGTTGAAAATCGCGCAGACGATATATAGGCCTCTTCATTTTAACTAACAAATAGAGAAATCTTCATAGTTACCATGTTCTGATATGGGTCTTGACATAAGAATGGTGTTAAGGAAGAGCATCTTTTGGTATCTGCAGGCTAGCGACTTTATGTTCATGTTTAATTACATCACATATAAAGAATCAAAATGACCAATTCTTATGTAGTGTAGAATGATTCTTACGATCCTTACGATAGTCACTATTAGTAGTAGTGAAAACTAGTAGTAGTTTCAAGTTGTCCCACTTAGTCTGGCTTCGTTCAGGACTGACTTTCAGGAGGAGTTGAATGATGCCGTGCCCAAGGTCGAACTCTGAACTTTCTTTTTGGAAAGCTAATAGTGATTTAGTACTCTGGTTGAATAGGTTATATATACCACACGCAAGTCAGTATATGATAAAGGCGGTCTGTACCAAGGATACAATAATTTTAATGAAACTCAATAGAAGTGAAAACTATACGATTTAATTACTTTGAATTCGTCTTTCTTATTGCGCTCAAATTTATTTCCTTTATTCAAGGATCTATGTAGCACTCTCTCTCCAGTATCCGATGTTGTGCCAAAGAGGTTAATTGAAACGTTGGAATCCGTTCCAGCACTAGAAATATCACCAGTTTTGACGATGATACGATAAGTTGTCTCTGAAAATAGAAAAATAATTAAACTATAATTAATGCGAAGAAAAGTTGGGTTTCGAGGAATCTCTTGTTTAAAAATTGTTGAGCTTACTTCCATTTCGAGTAAAAGTGTTTGGTGAAGAGATTCGAAGGTCGGTTCCACCAGAAGACGACAGTGGATTTCTCTTGACCAGCTGTCGATTGGCTTTACTGGAACATTCATGCTGATGCTGTTTTCGAGGTTACCTTCTTCGATTCCGGTGAAAAGGTGCTAAGCTTTCGTTCGTCATTTGACGAACGTCATCAGAGCAAGGTATCATCGTCACAACAAAATTCGAGCAAACAAGTCAAGAAAACTCACCGGCAAATCCCTAAAAAGGTGTATACTTACTCTACGGTCATATGTCAACCTTGAAGCCTGTGAGTGTGTCTGTCTCTGTATGCGCATGTGT